GTTTCGTAACTTGTCATCTATCTCTTGAACCAAGATTTATAAAAATGTCAAGAGAAGGAGGATGAAGACAGAGCCATCACATCAAATCAGCACAGATCCACCAACGAGCAGTCTTGGGAAAGAGCGCTGAAGGACCAGAAGCCCACTGATTGACTCCAAACCGGAACATCCCTTACTTATCCATAAAGATTTTTATGAGAAACTGCGAGGGGGCTTTTTAGAGACCACATGGAAGCATTCCTGGATAAACATGTTTTAAGATTCTCATGCAGCCCATGGGTTTTCTTTTTTGAACAGCGGAAGGCTGTTTTCTCTTATTCTGTGGACAACAGCATACAACCAGCAGTAGAGAGAATATTCAGTAACTTTAAGATGAATGCATTATCTCGTTGATCAAACTAGAAAGCTTGCTGCGTTATATGTGTTAGACCTACATTAGGCCACATGGTAGAAATTCCCCTGTTGCTTAGAGGACATTGTGAGTAATACAATTGGAAGTTATTTTAGAAGTTCTTGTCTAGAAGCTGAAAGGATAAATATGAGTGCTTTTTTTTTGTAGACAAAGTGGCATGTTAAAAGCTCTAGTTCACCAGTAATCAGCTCTGTGACTTTGAAAAGCTATTTAGACCCCTCAGAGCAAGTTCTTTTAAATTTGAAAACGGAGATGACACCTAGCCTTAGAGTCATTATGTAGTGCTGGGAGGCAATGTCTGTGAGCGTGGCATTTAATCATGAACATGTGCAGGGAGGCTTCCTGTGCACATACTGAGGGCTTTGGATGGTTAGACCACTGATCCTGGGAATGGTGCATCCACCATTCTCACTGACTTGAAGTGTTAGGGTAAGGCCACTGGTCCAGTCCACACAATGATGGCCATGGTATTTGAAGCCCTTGACCCTGAGCCTTCATTCTCAAACCCTATGCCTATGGAGTCGATATTTATCTTGCCTTACAGCATGTTCTTCTACCTTTTGATAATAGCTACTCGAATCTTCACTGACAACTCTCCCTATCTGTACCTAACTTTGGTAAAAGCATCACATTAGCCATGAAAACATGTCAGAGAGGAAAGGGCCCAAATTGTAGCCGATCCATTCTTTTACTAGTACCATCAAAGACTGTCAGGCCTGCTGCCTCGATCTTCAGAGACAACTGAGATATTGCCTCAGTAAGGTCCATTGGTTCCTAATATGACCATGGATAGTTTCTTCAGCTCAATCTGAAGAATTCTGATAGAACATGAAAACTATCCACTGGGCTGGGCATGGTAGCACATACCTTTAATATCCTAGCGCGTCTCTGTGAGTTTGAGGCCGGCCTGGTCTACCTACCCAGTCCCAGGCCAACCTGGGCTATATAGTGAGACTCTGTCTCAAACAAAACAAAACAAAAAACTATTACACATTGTTGGGGGCACTAAGGTGTCTCAGAGGCTTGAGTTCAGTTCCTGGGACCCACGTGGTAGAAGGCAGAAGCCACTCCAACCTGTTGCCCTTTGACCTCCACACATGCACTCTGACACACAAATAAATGGAATTTTACAAGTTAGTTTTAAAGACCATCATATACTGAAATCCCTATCATGTGTAATCCATGGCAGACTGTAAGCCTCAGTTGCCTCATTTATCAGTAAGGACTGTAAGTTGCCCATACAGCCCACAACTGTGAAAGCTGAGGCAATGTACATAAAGGACTTAGCACAGCATGTGGTACGAATAAAAGACTCAGTGAGAGCTACTATAGGTTAGGGGCTTGGGTTGTTTGTTTGTTTGTCTTTTGCAAAAAAAGAAAATTATTCTCATTAAGTGAGCCAAGTCTGTAAAATGGAAATAATTATGGTCACAGAACCCATTTCCCCCACAGGTAAGAACAAGTTCTAATAGGTTGCCCACATCAGTTATGTAACTGGACCCCATCCTGCGCTTACTGAGGAAGCATTTGTCCAGGGGCATATTATTCCACCCACTCCAAACTGTTAAGACTGAAAAATGACTGTTTAATAAAAGAACATCTCAACGTTCAATATAGTGAACTTGGTCCTGACACTACCAAAACTTAAGAGTTAAGGGGGTGGATGATCCACATGAACTGACAGTCAAAGTTCTCTGGCAAGGACAGTTATAAAATTGTGCTAGCACGTTACTTAAGATCTGGAACTGCTAGTGTTTTCTAGCTTAGAAAACCAGACTGCGATCACTACAGCTCCTTTTTCATCCATCCCTCCACTAACAAGCCCCCTCCACAGCAATCATTATTATTTCATCTTTGCTTGCCTGAGCAGTGAATATAAGGCTGATTGACAGAGAGTTATGAGGAGAACGTTTAACAAGACAGCCAAAACAGGGGGCTGAAGCCGAAAGGGAAATAGTATTTAAGTGCAGACATAACCCTGGTCAATAGGAGCTATTAAGAGCACTTTAAAAACAAATAGCAGCTACTTTCTTGGGGCTACCTGTGAAGCATTCACCATCAGGGCTGCTTTTGAACCTCTGGTGAAGCCCAAGACTGTCAAAAAGAGGACCCAGAAGTTCATCCAGCACAAGTCAGAGGGATATGTCAAAGTTAGGTACAACTGACAAAAACCCAGAGTACTGACGACAGGGTGTAAGGAGATTCAGGGGCCGGATCCTGAGGCCCAGCACTGGTTATGAGACAGGAAAACTGGGCACAGGCCACCCGGTGGCTTCCAGAAGTTCCTGGTCCACAGCATCAAGGATCTGGAAGACCTGATGTGAGCAGATCTGACCGTACTGAGATCACTCGCAGCGTTTCCTCCAGGAACCCCAAACCACCATGGAAACAGGGGCACAGCTGGTTCATCAGTCCCAACGCCAGGCTGTGCAGCTAAGAGAGTGAATAGATGGCTCATATGCATGTTTTATTTGTGCTTAGAAAAAAGGCTGCAAATAAATAAATAGCAACATCTGGATGGGGCTTGTGCATCCTGGTTGTTTTTTTTTTTCTTTCTTTCTTTCAAAAATACTGAAAGGCCAGTGTGGTGGCACAGGCCTGTAACCCCAGTACTTGGGAGGTGGAGGCAGTATGACTCAGGACCCAAGAGTCCCTGCTGCTATTGCAGAAGACCTAGGTTCTGTTCCCAGCACCCACCTCAGGCAGCTCACAACCACTTGCTAACTCTAGTTTCAGGGCATTGCTCTCTCCTGGCTTCACTGGGCACTGTTGAAAATCATTATAATTTTGGGCATATGTGCCTGGAGCCTGCACAGGCCAGAACACCGAATCCCCTGGGACTGGCATTATAAACCACCCTTACCTCATCACCTCTCCTGAAGTTCTGTTTTAAATTTATTTTGAAAAACGGAAAAAGTTCAACCTTTCGCTTGGACCTGCTCAGTTGGGCACGTCTAAGTTTTCCCCCCTTTTCAAGCTGCATCTTCACTCACTTGTCCTCTCACTCACCAACAGAGTGAAGACAAAGCACAGAAAGATTTGAAAATGTATCTAGAAGGGTTTCATGTCCCCCAAACCACTCTGCCTCTCAATGAATTAGTGATCACTATTGATACCCTTTGCCTTAAGCGATGATCAGTTCATTAATACTTTAAAGGGAAACACAGGATTGAACACGTCAATTCTTTAAAGAGAAGCACAGGGTCTCACCTTTAGTGGCTGACATATGATGGAAGTCAGTATTCTCATGCTAGCGTTCTATCTGGTGCCGTTCTTAGAGCAGATGAACTGGATGTATTATCCCTAAGCAAAGTAAACAGGCCAAGGAACTGAAGGGGCACACTGGATTCTTTTAGTCTTGCTGTGGAACCCAGAATGGCTTCGGATTGGTGATTCTTCGGCTTCAGCCTCCACATGCTAGGAAACTAAGGATGGACCACCATGCCTGACTCTGGGGACTAGACTCCCCACAGCTGGGCTCCAATTCCAACCCGGCCTTTAACCAGCTTTGTGTCTCTCAAACTAATTCTTCCTATTCCACAGCTTTGTTTATTGAATACGAAAATTCCACACAGACCTTTTTAGACACTGCACTGTAAGATTTGAAGTAATTTCAATAGCTCCCTTTTCCTATTAAGAGAGGGCTTTTTGCTGAAGTTGATGAACTGATTCCAACAGTCACATGGGAATGCAAAGGACTCCTTACAGAAGAAGAAAGTCCTGAAGGGAAACAGGTTAGGGGATTCAAGTGTCCCCATCTCACAGCTTACCAACACCTCTCACAGCTTACCAACACCAAGTTGTTCAGACGGTGTATCACTGGCATGAAGACACAGTGATCAATGAAACAGAACTGGGCAAGCAGACACAAACTTGGATTTGGTCAACTGACTTTCCACAAGGCAAAATAATTTGATAGGAAATTCAACAAATGATAGCAGGCCAACTGGACATCCACATGCAGAAAAATGAAATTAGATGCTTACCTCATAATTCAACATGGGTTAAAAAACAAAAACAAAACAAGAACCAACCTGTAAGAGTTGAAACTGTAACTATTAGGAAAAAAAAAAGTCTATCTTTGCAACTTTGGATGAAGCTTTTACAGGGTGGAAGGCAAGATGGCTCAGCAGGTAAAGTGCTTGTCAGCAAGCCTGACCACCTGAGTCTGCTCCCTGGGTCCCACATGGTGGGGGAAGAGAACAGACTCCTGCAAGTTGTCCTCTGACCTCCACACACGCTAAGGCGACTGTGCACCTGCCCCCACCTCCAAATAAATTAAAACATTCCAAATAAGAGAATGCTTTTTAAGAATGACACCAATAATGCAGGCAACTGAAAAGAGCAAAAACAAACAACAAAAAACCCCAAAAACTGACCTCAAAATTATACATTTTGTTTCATTTCACATGACCAACAAAGTGAAGACAAGCCATGTAAGTATTTACTACTCACATATAGAAGTATCTAGAAAACGTACAAAGCTTCTAACAATGAAAAAGATAAACAGTTTACAAACGGACAAAGGAGTTGAAGAGTCATTACTCCAAAGACATACAAACATCCAATAAGCACAAGAAACACAGCATGCTCAACATCATTGTTTATTACGAAATACAAAGCAAAACCTCCAGGCAATCCCTCCTCACATGCTAGGGATGGTGAGGACAGAAGATGTAGTCAAGAGTACATGTGACAAAAATGGGACCCTCACATATATGCCAATGGGGACAGGAAATGGTACAGCTGCTTCACAAGACAGTCGGTAGTTCCTTAGATGGTTAACCAGAGTTGCCATATGATCCAGCAATCCTATTCTTAAGGACACACACAAGAAAATTTAAAACACAAATGTTTATATTTTAAAAAATCTTGTACAAGAATGTTCAAAGCAACATTTTTGATAGCAGCCAGAAACTGGGAACCACTCAACGTACATCAACTGATGAACAAGCACGACACCGAAACAAAGGGGTGTCACATGACTGTAAAATGGATACTGAAAGTGTACGCCTATAATCCCAGCATTCTAGAGGCAGGAAGATTATGAGTTGGAAACCAGCTTGAGCTATACAATGCAAGACCACGTCTCAAAGCAAACAAAAAATGATGCTAACATATTACTACATTAATGAATCTTGAAAAACAAGCGTTAATTGAAAGAAGAGACAAAAGGCCACATGTTGCATGATTCTTTTTTATGAAATGTCAAGAGACAGAAAAGACTGATGACTGACTAGGGAGAAGAGAAAATCAGGGGCAAATGGTTACTGGGTTTCTTTTTGGAATGACAAAAACTAATCTGGAATTACATAGTACTGGCTGCACATTCTGGATCTACCAAAACCAGTGAATTACATATTGTAAGAGTAAATATTTTATGGTATGTGAACTGCACAAACACACAAAAAGGTGAACAACCCACCTTACAAAACCGATTTTTTCAATATAGGTTCAGGTCACCTACTGAGTCACACAGAAATACAGAAATAACTGCAATGATACTTGACATGTATAATTGTACTGTAACAAATACAATGAGAAACCCCCAACCTCCAGACCTGGGCCACACATGCTAGGTAAGTATTCTTCCACTGAGCTACATCCCCATCCCTTTTCTCCTTCTTTTGAGCAGAGTCTTATGCTGTCCAGGCTGGCCTTAAGCCAAGTTTGAATGAAGTGATGAAATTACAGGCATGTGTCATCATGGCCAGATAAAATTTCTTTTTAAGAAAACTATTTGTGTTATCAGCTGACAGTTCACATGCTGTATTTATTCTTGCGTCTCAAAGCTTCTCTGCACTCATGATTTATCCCATTGGTCTTTAAAATGTCATCTAGACACAGGCAGAAGTATTGTTCTCTAATGGCATTATGTAGAACAGCCATCTTCAAGCAGTACTTTACAATTTAATTCCTATTCATAGGACAGCAGAAAGGCTAGGCAAGAAATACTTTTACATGTAAGTATTACCATGTAATAGGTATAGCCAGAAACTTCATGCTATGTAACAACTGCAGGTTTTCTTCTCCTGGAATAGAAAATAGAATTATAGGCTTCCTCTATATAGTAATGGGGAACAAGAGGAATGTTTCATAACTGCAAAAAAGAAAACACACTCTTAAACTCATCTCTGCAACACTATTTTGTACATCTGCTTTTCAGTATCAGAAGGCTACAAACTTGCTTCAGGGCTGTAATCCAGAACAGAAGGCTCCGTCAGCACCTGAGACTGAATAAAAGGCTAATTCTAGTCTGACAGTGGCTCACTGGGTTGAAATAACATAGTTCTGAAGTTAAACAAGATTGAGGCTTCTCTAAATGCTCAGTGCAGAGAGGAGGGCTTAAAGCTTAGGCAAGCATCAAGGGCTGCCTTGATTATGCTGCCTTCTAAGAAATAAACCAACAGGCTACAATGGGACAACATGGCTCATTGTTCAAGTCAATGGAATTGCATATTTTCAGTTTTCACTCTTAAGCAGGATTCTTTGTACTATATTAAGGGAGGCAATTACCCTAGTTCAGTATTATTTTTGTGGTAATAAGCATAAAATCCAACCACTGTTTACATAAACTTAGAAAACAAGCTAAGAAAGGAAAACATTTACACCCTTTAGTTAAATTACACTGTTACCTTATAAAAATGTGAGAGTCAACATTTGTTTTTTAAAAACAAGAGCATTGGACAGTTTCAAATACAGCTGCTTGGCCAATAGGTAAGATGTGTCTAAATAAAATGTCCGCAGAAATGGTAACATGCCTGGCTTTCTTTTTGCTGGTTTTTGACACAGTCTCTCACTATGTAGCTCAGGCTGGCCTCTAATTCACAATCCTCCTACGCCAGTCTCCTGAGTGCTGCTGGGATTACGGCGTACGTACAACACTCAGCTTCAAGGCTTTCTTTTAGATGACATTTATTCAAATGATGAGGTTATAAATTCAAATTGAACAACAAAAAAAATCTTCATAAATAAGAAATGGGAGAAATAAAAATTTATTTCTAAACTAAATGTGTGCTGCCTCATATGCACTGAAAGAAGAGGGTAAAGAGAACCATGTGGAGGCAACTGCAGATCAGAATTCAAAAGGAGGAACAGCACAGCACGCTTTTTTAAATGTTTCACCAGTTTTTTGTTTGTGTTTGTATCTTTTATAGCATATCCTTTCTATGTAATTCTCCCTTTTCATTCCAGAAAACGTGAGAAACTGTCTGCACAAATGCATGCACACCAGTTTCTGTAAGGCCATGAACTGGTCTGCTAAGTTGCACTGCTTGTTTTTTCAAGTAGTAAACCCTTTGAAGCAAGGGGTCTGCAGAGGAAATCAATACCTTCAGCTCTGGGCCTGTGTCTTCGCTGGGCCTCCAGCATTCCAAGCAAGGTAGAGCATTTACAAAATGGGTTCTATTTACACTTTCTTTCTTTCTTTATTCAGTACTGGGAATCAAACCCAGGGCCTCGCACATGCTAGGCAAGAGCTCTACCACTGAGCTACGCCCCAGGCCCTTGATTCATATTTTTCAAAATCTAATACATGCTCACGTTTTCTGGCAGATTCTTTTTGTATGTTACAAAACAAGACAGCGAAAGCTTAGCCTCAGATGATAATCCTTTCTTCCTGAGAAAGGTCAAGCAGACACTTCCTGACATCATGTCCTTTACACAATGGCATATTGTTCATATAAAAGGTCTCGTATCCTATAAAAGTCTTGACAAAGGCAGCCTTCTAACCCGATGCGTCCAGTTTCTGTCTAGAAAAACAGTTTAAAAAGTTCTTTAGTATATCTCCCATTCATCAACATGCAGAAACAATAAACAACATCTATAACACGGGTCACTTTATGACTGGTCAGGAAATGGGTTGCCCTGACTTGGGAATATAGGTATCATATTGTAGTAATGAGTTTTTATAGACACATAAATGTCAGAGAATTCAAATAATAAAAATTTACTATAAAATTATGTACCATGTATTTGAATCACTGCTATAAGCCTTTAAAGTCATCATTATGAATGTAAATGGCTGGTTTTCAGTTTTATGAAATTATAAGAACTACAGAATTAATCTGAAAAACCTCAGAAGTGCATGCATGTTCAATGCAGTCCTTATTAAAAATAAACTTACTCTGCGGACTGCTACTTGGTTGTTGCAGACAAGTACGCCTCCTACAAATTCTGCTTGAATCCCCTCCCGCAAAAGAACTTGCTTGAAGTCAGACAGTCTTGGTTCATTCATAAAAACCGACTGATGTCCAGGAACCTTGAATAAAGTCAAAGGCAAGAGAGTAACTTCAATAAAACAATAGGCACAAAACTGTATCGGATAAAGTGGAGCACTGCATAATCTCTAAGATACTTATTCCCTCAAGTCCTTTGACAGGTAACGTCAAGACTGTAAGTCACATTCCAAGTTTGTGACTCTGGTTCTACTTTGTCACTTACCATTACAAAGCCCTTCACAGTTTCTGATGTTTCACAATTTTCTTAGTCATGCCTCCTAATAACAGAGACTCAAGGTAATATTATGCTCTTCACCCACCCACTTGCTGGAGGGGTCAACTAGAGTGTCAAGAGGCAGAACTGAACTGAAACCCCATTTCCAGGCCCCAGCCCCCTGCTGAGTTCAGAGTCTAAGTCTTCCTAATGCCACTTCCACGTCCCCTCCTCCTCAGAGTGACTGCAATGGATGCTCTGGGCTGAGAACCCGAAAGGCAAGTGGTTTTGCCCACTCTGAAAGTGCTTTGAAGAGCACTATAGCTTTAGCACGGAGAAAACCCTCCTCGTCCCCCTCCTCCAATTTCAAGAGCAGTGCTAGATCAGAAGCCGGCAGAAGGGCTGTCTCCATCTCAACTCCATGATGTGCTAAAGACGGCACTTGACAAGCCTGTAGGACTCTTACAGTATTAATACTGCTCTAGCTTCATCGCCTAGGAGCTTTTCTAATTAACTAGGTCCCTCTTGAGAATATGTAACTTCTAGGCTAGCATTAAAGCTGTACTCAACAGAAGATACTTAACTGCATCAAAACCAAAGTGATTTGAATGGAACTGATAACACAGAAAAATGGCATTCTTAGAAAACTCCCATTTCCTCACTGGAGAGCCTCACAATCAGACTCCACATTTTCCACGCTGAAAACACACATCCTGAACAACTGCATTATTAGCTAGGCGAGGGGGAATAATATGGCACACATGATATGAAAGCAGAAAAGGGGTTAGAGGATGAGGGAGAAGAGAAAGGGAGAATTGACAAAAAAAAAAAAAATTCTGTTTAAAAATACATAATAAAACATAATACTATGTATTCTACTTAAAATTTTTAAAAAAGATTCATTTATTTAATGTACGTTGGGGTTTTGCCTGCAAGTATGTCTGTATGAGGGTATCATATCCCCTGGAATTGGTTTTACAGACAGTTGTGAACTGCTATGTGGGTGCTGGGAATTGAATCCAGCTCCTTTGGAAGAGCAGCCTGTGCTCCTCACCGCTGAGCTATCTCTCCAGCCCCCCTCCTTAAAAATTTTAATAGTAATAATAAAAAAGATTTGTTAAAGGTTTCCTCTAAGTTATCATCCTCTAGCTGCAAAGACTGAGACACACAGACACATGCCCTGGGCAGTCCTTTGTAAGAACTCCAAGTTCGGGCCCCACACAATGTGTTTACACAGCTAAAAGCACAACAGGGGAACCAGAAGGATGACAAACACAGGACAGACGAACTACAGGACAGACGGACTGGGGATGCAGCTCAACGGCAGAGCACGTAGCTAGCACGTGTAGGCCCCATCAATCCCCAGGACCACTCAACAGAGAGACAGAGGACACAGAGGCCTCTCACCTCATGAGGCGGCAAAGGCTCCAGTGTGGGGATGATCTCACTCTCTTCGCCCAACTCTTTGTCGTCGTCTCCAAACAGACTCTTCATGGCCTTCTGCTGGGCTATGGCGCTGGAGTCTGAAGGAGCATCCACTTGCATCTCTGAGTCTTCTCCATCGTCCTTGAGCTCCCCTTCTTCTAAGATAACTCCGGTGTCCACTTTGGAGACCCTCATGTCTAAGACGCCATCTATCCAAGCTAACTCGGCATCTTTAGCTTTACAAAACTGTAGGGAGCTGACAAGGGAGTCCTTTAACCTGACCTGGATATGCAAAGGGAGGGGAGGAACAAAACCCACAGGGTGTACGTTAACAAATCAAGCACAGCCTTTGCCATTTTCTAACTCTGCAATATGAGCAACATCTGAAAATCTCTCTCCTCAGATCATCAATCTTCACAATGACCTAATTATCTGTAAGGGCTTGAGGATCCTTGGCCACTTTCCAAAACAAGGTTCTCAATCTGACTGCACAACAGAATCACATGGAGTCCCCAGCCCGATACTAACACTGGGGTGCTACCTCTAGTATTTCTAGCGTAATTACTGAAATTAAGATGGGAGCTCAGATGACCAACTGTGCAGCCACGGCTGGTGTGCCTTAGAGTGCTGGCTCCTATGCTTTCTGGAATGTGCCACGTAATTTCACACCTCCATGTCTCTTTCTCTTACTTACCCAGAATAATTTTCTGCCTGGCAAGTTCTAACTTCTTCCAGATATAGATGTCACACCTACCTTCAACTGTCACTATCTCCCACAACCAGAGAAGACTATCTCTCCTCTAACTAGCTGTTTGCTGTACCTGTCTATTTTTTTCCATTAGGAGAACTGTGGCATCTGTTGAGTGCTTAAACAAAATTATTTGAGGCTGGGCATGGCAGTACATGCCTATAATTCTAACACTTTGGAAGTTAAGGCATGAGAATCGAGTTTGAGACTAGCCTGGGCTACACAGTCAGACCCTGTCATTCATGAAGAAACGAACGTCTCTTTGGTTTTGAGAACACTTATCATTCCCTCACATTGGTACTTTGGCCAAAGCTGTCTATCTGACTATAACACTCTTTCCCCACTCTTTGCTGCTGTCTGTCCTGACAACCTAGCTATACATCCAATAACAGCCTGTTTAGTTAACATTTCTTCCAGAAAGCCTTTTCCAAACTTCCAAACTTGAGTTGGAGCCCTCTTCTCTATCCCCTGGCACCTTGCATACCACCAAAGGAACAAAAGCGTAAGGGGAATTCGATTTGTTTGGTTTAAACATCCCAAACTATGGGATGTTGTTAGGACGGGGAGCTGTACCCATCTCACTTGCCATATCCCTAACGTATGGGAGCTAGTGTGCTGACAGCCATGTCTATTTCCCAATGGCTCCACTGCCAACATATTTACCTGGTAGATATGCGTTTCGCTTGTGGCATCAACTGTCTCATGGAGTTTGGGCATGTACACTTTAATGTCCTTCCCACCGAAGGCCCGGCAGCACTCGGCCAGATCCTGACTGGCCTCTGGTGGGCCGTGGACAATGATCAGCTGTCGCGGTTTCATCTGGTTGATGATCTTCTTAATGGAGTCTCCATCTGAGCGTCCTTCATAGTCTATGTAAGTTACTCTGGCTCTGTAATTAGACATCATTAGTCAAGCTCTCTTTCCTGATAAGCTAATTCCAAAACTAGGCTCTTACCATCAGGAAAGAAATGCATACAACTATGTAAGGGGAAATTGTGAAATGCATGTCACAGTATGTATCCCAAGAATATATACAAACGATGTCACTGGACAAAAGACCAGTTGTTCTCTGATGATTCACATTCTGAATTATCACTCCTTGGCAGTACTAACTGTATTATATAGGAAAGGAAAGCGTTTCTTAACTACTCCTGGTCCTGATAAACTTTCTACTCCCAAGCATTAGAATGTCTAAGTCAAGGAGGACAGTTCATGAACCAAGCAGTAACGCAGAAGAATTAGTTTCTCAGCTGCACTGTTCTCCTACCTGCTACTAGACTTATTAGAAAGGCCAGAAATAATGTGTCTTCATATAAATGTACAATTTAATGTTCAGCTCCTTCCTCAAACTACCACTAACCCAATTACTTTGGTATTCGAGAATCATCAATGAAAATACCACCATACTTCACAGGTCTTTTCACTGAAAAGGGAATTTTAAAAGCATGAACTCACTAGAGGCTCTGTTGAAATTTCACTTTTGAAACAATACAAGTTATATAATTCAAGCGTTGAAACGGTAGATTCTAGCCTCATCTCCAAACCCCACAAAGGCACTTACTTGATCTCAATAGACTCTGTTGCAGAAACACACTTGGTGGGAACGTCAGACAGGTCCTGATCCATGGGCTCGTCTCCATTTGTCAAACCAGATTCCAATTTGCTTTTTTCTTCTTCAGTAGCTTGAAGTTCTGGCACTAAGAAATCTTCTGGCCTAAACAGCAAGTCTCTAATTAGACATGTGGAAGGCATGCTAACATTATGTAACATATGCAACCAACTAATAGGTGGCATAATTTAAAGACTCCTTGTGCATTTTAAGACTTACTCATTTAACTCAAAGCTAATTAATACATGATATCAATCATCAGATGATTACATGTATAATGTTTTCATAACCACTGAAGAGTGATATTTAATTATTTAGCTAGCAGCACTAAGGATTGAACCCAGGACCTTGCACAAGCTAGGCAAGCACGCTATTCCTGAGCTACATCCCTAGCCCAAGAGTGCTCTTTGAGGACGCTGTAGACCACTGAGAACCCCTAACACGTCAAGAGAAGATCTGAATGGCTGTAAGGAGCAACAAGCACCCTTGAAACCTGACCCTGTACTTTTTTGCCTTTTTCTTTTCTTTTTTGAGACAGGGTTTCTCTTTGTAGCCCTGGCTGTCCTGGAACTATCTTTGTAGACCAGGCTGGCCTCGAACACAGGGATCTACCAGCCTCTACCTCCCGAGTGCTGGGACTAAAGGCGTGTGCCACCACTACCCCATGGTGTTGTACTCTTTTTATAACTTACTTATTAGTGTGAGTGTATGTGTGCATGCCCAAAAACAAAGTTCTCCGTGTGAGCATTACTGAAAAGAGGGAGATACCTGTTTTTACAATTCTCTCTCTAACACCCTGTGATCACCTTTCTAACTTTCTAGTCCAGTCTCACTCCTCTCTGAGAACCCAGGCTCTATTCTCTAACAGCCACGTTGCTACAGCTTCTTATTCCCCAGGGCAACATCTCCAACTGTAAACCACAGAATAACAATAGCGGTAACAACCACTTAAAGCACATTTAGTATGATTCCAGGCTAGAGACCTTAAAAACAAAGCCTCACAGGCTGGAGTGTAACTCAGTGATAGAATACTGCCTAGCATGTACAAGGCCCGGAAAGCCCTAGAGCCCCACCCCAACCCCCCAAAAGAACCAAAGCAACAACGACTAAAACTTCCTACAACATTTCATTTGTATCCCCCTGTTTCTCAGGACAGTCAATCTGAAGAGCAGTGTCCAGTGCAGTGGGATCGCTCAGTGGGTTAAGTAAGTTGCTGCCCAACTTGACAACCTGAGCCTGATCTCCAGAACCTACAGTGCAATGAAAGAACTGACTCCTGAAAGTTGTGCTCTGGTCTCCACACGCACACATGTATACAAGGTACACACACACACACACACCCCAGTAGGCAGCAGACTGGTCACTTATCAAATGAAACTAAACAAACACCAGTGTCGTTTCCAGTGCTGTTTCTCTTGGTTGTTTTAGAGGGCTATGTAGACCATGGAACTTTCCTAAGTAAGCCAAGAATGATCTAAGTCTACCACCTGCTCAATAGCATTATGGAAGTAGTAGGTAAGTACAAAGTCCATGCTTATAGTCCTGGCTACAAGCGGTAAATAAGTGTAAATAAGAGAGAGACACTTAAGTATACCTATGTATAGCCAAAGAGGGAGGGGAAGAGGAAAACCTGAGAGGAAGCAGGAAGAACTAAGAGTGTCAGACACTGCACAGTAGGCAGAAGTACCTGACAGTTTCTGCGGAAGCAGAGGGAACCCTGGGAGACCTTTACTCAGGTTAGCAGTGTTTTCAAAATTGCAGCTCGAGCATGTGATTTCAGCTATTTTTCATGGTTCCACCCTTTATCTCATATTTCCCTTATAGCCAAAAGCATCAGAAGTCATGTCCCAAATAAATACAATCACCAACAAGTTTTTTCTCCACAACATGTCCCTTCTTAATCAGAGAAAGGATGTCTAAATCATCTTTCTTAAAATCTTTCATGCAACTGAGTAATGAAACCATACTCTCTTTACTACTAATTCTCAAGATGCCCCTCAACGCTTCTATTTTTATGCTTCAAATTAGAAGCCTCCTGTATCTTTCAAGCCAAGACACTCGGGAGCAAAGCACACGGTGACCAGAGAGCAAATTCACTGAGCCCAAAGTGTTTGTTTTGCTCACATACTTGATGATCTCTCCATATTCATCCCATTTAATTCTCTCTTCTGGGGCAGGAAACATGGGGTAGGATTTTTTGGCCTGTTTGAAGAAGCTGCCTTTGCGACTGCCTTCCCCTTTCATCATTAGGTCATGCTTTGTCTTATGAGCCGAAGGCTGGTCGATATCTTCTTCCACGTCACTCTCATCACTGGAGTCGATATCTGCCCTAGGAGGATTTGGGAACACAGCAGGGTCATAATGTCCCTAAGTCAGTTTGACTGAATATTTATAAAACTATGAATGAATTATTCTCCAACCTTAACCCAAATCATGATAGTTGGTATATGTGGATCAATGTTTTGTAAAAACCTAACATTAACTTCCTTAATAAATTGGTATTATTAGCACTAAAAGGATTTTACTTTTGCCATTTGAAAAGTTTAATAAAAGTCACAAAGTCCTAAGGAAATTTAAGTTGTTTCCACTGAATGTTTGAATCCTACAATGTTTTCTTTTTCCATCATCTGCAGACTTAGCCTTATGAATTACTCTTTAGGTGAGTGACTCACTCTTTGGACTGTTCAAGTTTCTTAGCAGCTTCTTTCTTTAGTTTCTCTTTCTCCACATATTCTTCAAGTTCTTTCCCTTCAAGCTTCACGCGTTTCCTCAGCTAATGGAGAACAGACAAAAGAAAAGGCAGTGTCAGGAGAGTTGGGCAGCAGGGTGAGATACCTCGCTCCTCTAAAGTGACCCATGCCCTTTAATTCTCATCTGAAATTAATCAGGCTTCCACGACACCGACTTAGAGATCTTATTTAGATTAGTACTAAAATTGAGCTATTAGAGAAGATGGATTTAAATCAAACTGGCTAAAATACACCAGTCAACTGGGAGAAGGAAGCAGTTAGGTATTTTTATAATTTGAAGTAGAAAAGCCACATAAAGCCCCAAGGCTAAAAGTCTTAAAGAAAGAGTGAATAATTAATTATCCAACATGGAGAAGATAAAACATCTTTTATATTTTAAATTTCACAGAACTAAAAGAAAAGGTGAAAATATTGGCTGTACTGACTGTCAGAATCTATATTTTCCTAAGAACTCCCCAGATCAAGAAAGAGATAATACATCAAAAAGGACAAAATACGTAGAGGAAATTTAAAAACTAAGAAACATGGATAGCTTATAGCCATGGATAGATGACTAAGTTTATCAATGGTTGTTGACACAGGCAACACATAAAAGTTAACACACTTTAATTTGCAAGACTGGAAATGCCTACCTGGAGAAGGGATACCTTCAGCTGTTTCCAGCAGGTACTATCAGTAAACTGTTAGAAGACAATTTGCTAACAACTAAAAATAAAAAAGTGCTTGTCTTTGGATGCAGTTCTTCCTATTTCTAGAACAGAGATATTTTTAAAAAGTATATAATAGTAATGTTGAAAATAAAAAAAACTAGCAAATTCATCCATGTGGAACAACTGAATTAGTAGCAGTTCATTCTCTTGTCCTCAGAGTACCTTAAAAGCTAGAGAACCCTGGGGCTGGTGAGGTGGCTCGGTGGGGAAAGGCACTTGTCAAGAAGGCCTCATGACATATGCTCCAAGTCCAGAACCCACTGTGGGAGGAATGGACTCCAGAAAGTTGTCTGAGCTCTGACTTCCATGTGTGTACCATGTGTATACAGAACTCAGATAAAAAATAAATTAAAACATAACCAAAGAACCCCAGAGGTTGGAGAGATGGCTAAGAGAACTGACTCCTCTTCCAGATGATCTGGGTTCAGTTCTCAGAACCAACACAGCAGCTCACAACTGTCTGTTACTGCAGTTCCAGGGCATCCAACACCCTCTTCTGGCCTCCATGGGCACCAGGCATGCACATGGTGCAGGCATATATGCAGACAAACCATCCATATACATAAAATAATGCGAAAATATTTAACGTAAACAGAGCCTAAATTTTTGTGTGTATATATGTATTTATATATGGGGGGGGGGGGGTCATGAGAAAGGAGGAAGAAATGTGAGAGGAGAAACAGACAGTAATGGAATACATTTGCCAAGAGCAGAAAAAGGAACTATTTGGGGGAAGAAGGGAGCTAGTGGGGCAGGGGACAGGGACAAAGAGAACGAAGTGCAATGGCACACTTGTACATCAAAACGCCACAGTGAAACTCACCACTTTGCATGCTAACCTAAAATTATTAATAATTTTTAAGTGTCAAGTCATAACAACTCAATGCAACATGTACTCCTGGGTAGGATCACAGACAAAACTGGAACAGGTAATTAAAAAGGATACTGTTGTGCCAACCAGCTAAAGTTGGCAGGGTCAGCGGATTAAAAGGTAGTATGGTGTCAGTGTTTATCTCCTGTTTTCAGTGGCTCTTGTTTCCACACAATACACACTGTGGTACTACTGAAGAAATGCTGGAATAACTGCCATTTCTTTCCAATGATATAGAGAAAAAAAAAGTGTGTGTAAAACTGTGTCTGTGTAGATACAAGATTTGATATAGCAAACCCAGCTAAAACCTCGACAACTGGGGTGCTGGAGTATTCACACTATTTTTGCAACTTTTGGTTACATTTGAAATTATCTCAAAATAAAAATTAAACCAAAATCAAGTGATGAACATTAACAAATGTGGCATCTCACATCTGGCTCTTGGCTTACTTGAAATGTGTTTTAAAATTATAAACTGTTAGCAACTTACATAAATACTTTGGACAAAAATTAAATTGTAATTAAGTATTTAATTCCCTGATTTAACTTGTACCTCTTGAAAATGTTGTTCTTAGCCTGGTGTGGTGGCTCAAGCCTGTATCTCAGAACCTAGGAGCCTCAGGAGGGAGAAATGAGTTTTAGGCCAGGCTGGACTACATAACAAGACCACATCGCAAAAAAATAAATAATTAAACAAATTTTGTCTCAGTTCTATATTCCATTTCTGAGATCTGAAATTAACTGTGATATTCATAAGTAGTTTCCAGAACAATCAACTCTAAGATACATTCTTCTCCACCTTCACAGTATCACTCCAAATCATGTCTTTTCCTAATATAAACCTCCAGTTTGCTCTTTGTTCACCTTTTTTGTGTTTTCAATTACTAGCTTCGCTCTTTCTAAATGAACAAGGCTTAACTTCCTAGGGCACTGTACGTACATGAAAACAGACCCACGATAAACGCTAATGCGTCAGAAGATTGGCCTGTTATGAACTCTCTCTTGTCATTATGATAGCAACCAGCACATTCACTGAGGGTCACCAGTGCATTAGCACTACCCCAGCCACTAGGAAGGTCCCTGTTCTTCTGGAACTTTATTTAATTTGGCAGCAAAAAGAAGACAACAAACAAGGAACACGTGGTAATGGACACTAAGAAAAATAATTCAAGGTTGTAAGTAACCAGATAGCTCTTTTAGATTCATAGTAGAGGCCCTTTAAACAGACTGAAATGACAAGGAAAAACCAGGGTAAAACCAAGACACTCCCCTATAGCCAGAAGAACTGCCAGGGCTAAATGGTACAATGAACAAGAGTGTGAGGATGTACCTAAGTCAGAAAAGTGGGTGCTTGCCCGGTGTGGTGGCGCACACCCTGTAATCCCAGCACTCTGGAAGCAGAGACAGATGGCTGGGACCATACAAAGTGATGGGAGAGAAGGGAAGTGGGGACAGGACCTGAGCACACTAAGGAGCCTTTTAAACTAAAGCCTCTCACTTTGTTTCTGCTGTTTCTGATATCAAGAGGATGCTTTGGAATATCATTTTCTTTTTCTTTTTCTCCAAACTTTTAATGTCCTTTTAATTCCTCAATGGCATATCAACCTTAATTGAGTTTCTAGTAATTAAAATTTTCAAATTCAGCATTTCATCTCTCATGAAACCATTTTAAGTACTTCTGAGTTATTTTAACTTGGTATTTCTAAGCTATTAAATAACCCAAGGCAGTATTTTATTTTGATATGCTTGCATGGAATCCTTATCAGCAATGCTGTAGTTAGTGAATACTTATCGGACTTTAGTTGCGGATAATGATGCTTTTCTTAAATGACTTAAAAGACAAGGACACCACATAGCTTTCCACAAATATTCCTTCAAATGCTGCTATGAGGATAAAATACAAAATGGCCATCTAAAACTATGCATAGTCCTGCAGTTACTAGCCAACCCACTTGAAATGATGGCTATGGACTTCTGTCAACAATACCAGCTGTGGAAAACAGACAGTTTGATGGCTTGGTTCTTAAGCAAAATCTTTCCACATCTTGGCTGTTCTGCTGGCTGTCTTGGGATGAAGGTGCAGAGGTGGGTTAGTGTATTTATTTAGTGGTAGGACAGGAATTCCTGACTGATCCTTTCTACTTCTCTGTTAAATTCCAGACAAGGTCTGTGCTAGGGATGACGATAGGTTAGTTGTGGAACACTGGAAGGAAAGAAGGCAAAGGTTGGCTTATTGAGGAATGAGAAAATGAACATCCTGTTGAATGCTAAATGCTACAGTTGGTGCCCTTCCGAGGTGAGGTCTCAACATGAAGGGAAATCTGTTTACTGCTCCTGTTGAACTCACATGGCGTAAAGCTGCCTGAACACAGGCACACACTAGGGCAAAGGTGTGGCCAGGCGAGAGGAAAGGTAGGCTTGCTAACAGTGCCTGCACGGTGTTTAATCACGGGGCACTGTCTCTATGCTAATAGGACAATGCATGGTAAAGGGGGGCGTTAATGAACTGAAAGACCCAATGGGACTGACAAGCTGCCGACACAGGAGTTAGAGAAAGGCAGCTTAAGATCAGACTCACACACTTGAAGCAGACAGGGGAGCAGCCTAGGCAGAGCGGACAAAGACCATTAGGAAATGGACAGGGCCTGGGTGTGAAGACATCTTTAATTCCAGCACGCAGGAGGTAGAGGCAGGTGGATCTCTGTGAGCTCCAGGCTGGCCAGAGTTAATGACTCTCATAAACAAACAAACAAACAGAAAGAGAGAGAAAAAAAAAAGAGACCAAGGCTTTGATTGCCTAGGGCACATGTATACATGAACACACAAACTAAAAAGTAAAACGTGCGTTCGCGCGTGTGTGCGTGTGTGTGAGTGTGTGTGTGTGTTTTCTTTATAAAGATAGTTAAAGTGTGTAAGGGTGCTTGCTGCCAAGCCTGATGACCTATTTTTAATCCTCAGGACCATCATGGGGGAAGGAAAGAAAGGACTCCAGAAAGTTGTTCTCTGCTTGAAGAATGAAGGTCAAGAGTCAGTAACGGGGCTGGGAGTGTAGCTCAGTGGCAGAATTGCCTGCCTATCATGGGCAAGGTCCTCGGTTTTAGCATGGGAAATAAACGTCACAGGAAGATTAATAAATGCCTAAAACAAGGATTAGGAAATCATCATGACTGACAGTATGAGTTGCAAAGGAAAAATGGGTTGAAGACTATGATATAGAGTAAGTATACTGAACCAAGGTACAAAAGCAGTAAAAGATTATCTCCTTGAGTGTGGCCACTGGTGCAATAGTGGCATGACTGTTATGGGTCTAACCAACTGACTGGATTTGAGGCATGTTCTACAGGAGGGAATTCATAACAGGCAATACTAAACCTGGTCAAAAGCTCTGACTAGAGAGGTCAGTGGCCACTGTGGGGAACTTACTGTTGCTTTGATATATGGTCATGTTGCCAAACTGCCTTCTAAATACTTATGTTTATATCCATAGATTAATGCTGCTCTCAACCTTGGGGAAAGAAGCTTTTTGCAATAGACAGCAGTTAATGGAGACTCTTTGCTGGTCAACTGAGACTGTGAGTGCTAAGCCCTAGACAGGAGAGCTGTACCAACTGCCCTGCACCTCCAAGGCTCAGGGAACACAGCAGAAGAGGAGACAGAAAGGACGTAAGAGCTGGAGGATGGGACAGGATGGACGTTAAGAGCTGTGAAATGCTGTCTTCTGGGTATAATATGTGCTGCACTCAGAACTCATGGCAGCTGTGGTTACCTGCATACGATCAAGCCAGTCAAATCTCTGGCATAGGTAGACCCACCTCGAGCTGAAGAGCTACTGGCAGGTGATGGCTGCTGAGGTGGGGAGATCATTTTTCTTTGGGGATACAGCACAAGCATGCTGCCTATGCTTCAGTAGATGGCTTCACGCACACTCATATGTATACAGGCAGCACTAACTGGAGCCAGTGCCAGATAATATAACAAATTTAAAGTTTGAATACAAGTGCTTACCTCTATTTCTGTAACTTTCTCAGAAGGATTATCAATCAAGAAACGTGCTAAAGTCCCAGGAGTTGTTCTATAGGTTAGAATGATTGAGTTTTTAGGGTCCTGACACCACTGAATAAAAAGGTCCCTTGAGAATCCACACTCCAGGTCAGGCTGGCTGGCAAGTACAACTTTGGGGCTTGGAACTCGAGCCAAGTCAGAAAGACCATGGCACAGAGAGAGATGGCGAAACTGAAATGGGTTATTTCTTTTGTCTTCAAAACATCTCATCAATTTATCACTCATCCATTCTACCTAATACAAGGAGGGGGAAAATGACAATAATTAGAAAATGCCCTATGTGTGAGATATTTAACAATAATAATAAAATTTTAAGTCGTTTCCTCCACTAGTTGATTAAATTTGTGCCATTTGGACAAGTAGCTTCTTTTCCCCATTAGATTCTCCTACTCCAGTTTTTAATCCTTAAAAAACAAAACAAAACAAAAAATCCAATTTTGTTGAGTGTGGTGTTGCCTGCCTTTAATTCTTACACTCGGGAGGCAGAAGCAGGAGTTGGGGCCAGCCTGGTCTACAGATTGAGTTCCAAAGCCAGGGCTACACAGAGAAACCCTGTCTCAATAGACAACAATTTTACAGTGTTTCACTTATTCCTGAGAAGAGAATGTTGTTCTAAATGAATATTGGAACCCATGTATCCATGTATCTTTGGAGAGAAAGAACTCATTTTAAGAATAATGATGCTGGGCAGTGGTGGTGCACGCCTTTAATCCCAGCACTTGGGAGGCAGAGCCAGGCGGATCTCTGTGAGTTCCAGGCCAGCCTGGTCTACAGAGCAAGATCCAGGACAGGCACCAAGACAATACAGAGAAACCTTGTCTCGGAAAAAAACAACAACAAAAAAAGATTCTAGAATTGATTTTTTCCCCCATTTTATAGATCAGAAAACCAAGAGTTAGAAAACAAGCAACTTGCTTAACCTGTAAAAAGGAGACAAAAATAGAAACTTTATGCTTAAGTGAAATAACATATGTGAAGAACACAGGACAGTAAACAGTTAACATTCAGCTGCTGTTTTTATCAACTGCAGAAAATATCTGAAGGGCAATTAAGATGAGCCACGCAGTGGTGGCGCATGCCTTTAATCCCAGCACTCAGGAGGAAGAGGCAGGTGGATCTCTGTGAGTTCGAGGCCAGCCTAGTCTACAGAGTGAGTTCTAAGACAGGCTCCAAAAGCTACACAGAGAAACCTTGTCTCAAAAAACAAAAACAAAACAACAAGAAAAAGAGATACTACATTTAACCTCTTTACTCAATGTCACATAAGAACAAACCTGTGACTTAGAAAACTCCACCACGTTATAACTGACGTTATTCAGGAGTGCCAGTGAATAAACACCCAATCCGGCATCTTTAGTTCTCCAAATCTGGTCAAGAAGTTGAGCAAGCTCCAGAACTCTGCCTGCTGTGTCCACTGCTATTAGCACGTTTCCATCACCCCGAAGAGTTTCCAGGACATTTGCTTAAACAAGAACAGAAGATCCCTATAACACATGTGCTTTGCAATAAAATTTCCCAGCATCTCTGATAAAGACTGCATAAGTAATTACTAGGACACATATAAAAAGTATTTGTTCAGATCAACACAATTACTTTTGACTTGGTTAAGTATATCTTTCTAGGAATAAAAATGATACATGTTTTGTATGCATGCACGTAGAATAAAACACAGAACATGTTCCCTTCCAAGAAGAAAATCATCTTTAGCAATAGATGTCCTTGTTCTCAAAGTCAGCTTGAAGTGTGGGGTAAAAGCAAACTCTACCTAGCAAGCAAGCAAACACACACACACACACACACACACACACACACACACACACACACGAATTGAGGCGCTTCTTAAAGTTAGTGAATTGTTAAGTAGACAGATGAGAGTGCTTGCTCACACGTTTAAAAGTGGAACCCAGCTTTCCTGTTGCCATCACATATGGCTTACAAAAAATAACACAAAGCACAGCAGAATGAGTCAAAGCTGAAGCGAGAGGTGAGGGCTCAGAGGCGCCTCAGTAAAATCAAGATAACTCTGTCAGAACAGAACAAGCAGCACCCAGCCAGCAGACCTTGCACACTTCCAGTTCTCTCTTGGGCTCACTTTCAGTTTTTCTGATATATATACACACATACTGCACACACACACACACACACACACACACACACACACACGTTATACAGAGACCAGTGAATGCCTGGGGGAGCTATCTACATGCTGAGTGGTATAGGAAGCCAACCTTTAGGGAGCATCTCAACATGGTCACATTAACATTTCTTAAAACAAAACAAAACACCACAGGAATTATGGGGCCAGCAAAATAGCTTAGTGGGTTGAGGCACTTGTTGCCAAACCTGATGCCCTGAGTTTAATCCCGAGACCCAGATGGTGGGAGGAGAGAACTGACTTCCACAAGTTGTCCTCTGACCTCTACATGTACTCTGTGGCAAGCATACACATATACATACACACACTGTATAAATGTATAAAGTATAATTAGAAAATTATTAGAGTTAGCTAATCTCTTATGACATAGCTAAATAGAACAAGCAGTAATTGCTATCTGCACACACGTCCACAGCTATTCCAATAGAATACTAGACATACGTACTCAGGAGTTGCTCATCTCTCTGTTTCCTTCTAGGCTGCACATATGTAGCATTAAATGAATCTGTGATAAGTAGAGAGGGTCTGCTTAGCATTTCCAGGGAACATCCATTTAAGTGGCTATAACAAAGTTTAAAGATGAAGAATACCTGTCATTTCAAATGAACAGTGATAGCTTCACCTATCACAAAAGTAACTGCTTTATAAGCACCCCCCACCCCCAATTATAAAGGAGGAAAGTAAAAATGTTTCAGAGGACCACTTCAGTGCTATGATATATTGGACATATCCTTCTAAACACACAAATTTTCTTGTGTATCTAAAAATGTATTTAGAACAGACATCCCATATATATTCCTATATATTTATTTCTATCTTCTGGCCTTTCCCATAACATTAACATTTTTTTTCTAAACTTAACTTTTAGAAATTGTAAAAACTTTCTGCCTGGCATTTGTTTCTAAAGAAATAGGCTATAGCAGCCCAGGTGATGACACAATCCTCCTACCTTAGCCTCCCAATAGCTAGGCATGTATAAAGGTATCCAGCTCGCAATTGTAAAAACTTTCCATTTTATCTGTACTATATTGTATTTATCTGATCATTTATTTTTACCTGTTTAAGTCACCTTTTCACCACTTTATTTTTGAAAGAGATGTTTCTGAAGTCCCAATCCTCCTGCCTCCATCTCTCAAGTACTGAGATTACAGAGGCGTGCCACCACCCCAGCTGTATTTTTTATTTCTTTAGGACACATTCCTTGAAATGTATATACAACTAGTGTCAATGGTTTTCCAGAAAGGCTCAACCACCAAGACTGACAAGCTCAATTCTTCCTAGAAGGCTATCAATATTTTAAAATAATGTAAACATATCTAATATTTTAAAATGTAATACATACTTTTTCAACATTCTCTTTTTGACTAATGCTTGCCCATTTTGCAATTAGTGTATTTTTAATTTCTTGAGACATCCCTAGTCTTATAGGTATGTAAACCTTTGGCTAATTGTTACAGTATTTCCCCTGGTTTAATGGTTTTATAGTGTAGGTTACTGTTTTAGTTTAAATCTGTATATAAGCAAATTTATCAGTCTTCTTTTGTAAGTCTCTTCCAAGTCAGACTGGACACAGCAACACTGCTTCCTTTTCTAGTTCATTCTAAACCCGCCTATAATTTATTGCTGTGCTTCCTAAAGTGGTTGAATTCATTCAACATTTACTCAGTTTTCCAACCTTCTCATCCCATGATTACAAGTATAAATTCAATCTGTTAGTCCTCAATGTTCCTTAATATAAAGATCTTAAGATGACTGCAATCTAACACAAAATAGCCATGAACTTAATGTACAGATGTAGCAAAGGAAGCCTGTAGGACAGTGAACACACACATAAAATTTACACTATTTTTCTGAATATCAAATGAATAATATAAAATTATAACCATCATATTCCCCTTAAAAGGAAATCTGTCATCAAATATCATTAAATTAGATGGTAATTACTACCCAGCCCCCAAAGACAAGAAGTCACAAATTTCTATTAAGAAATAAGTCAAGATCATATAAAATATAATTTAATGTATAAAAATTCACTACTTTTAAACACCTCCAGGGAAATACCTGCTTCATAGAATAGATATTGATATATAAAAAGTTTAAAGCTCTACAATGAAAATACTTAGTATTTGACATTTTTTTTTTTTTTTTTTTTTTTTCTGGTTTTTCGAGACAGGGTTTCTCTGTGTAGTTTTGCGCCTTTCCTGGAACTCACTTGGTAGTCCAGGCTGGCCTCGAACTCACAGAGATCCGCCTGGCTCTGCCTCCCGAGTGCTGGGATTAAAGGCGTGCGCCACCACCGCCCGGCTTAGTATTTGACATTTTTAAATTGCTATAGAGTTCTGATGAAAAAACAAAAAGTTGCTTCTAATTTTCCCTTCAGTGAATGAAACAGTAACCGCATTGCTTTTAGCACGTGTGGAGATATACCTACATCTCCCTCTTGTGGTTGAAGTCAACGGCATAAACAATTTCTTCTTCTCCATCTTTGACTATTTTCCATATTGTCCCTCCTATCATATGACCGGCTGGCAGGGGTGTGATAGACAAACCATGGCCTTTGCCTACATAACAAGATAGTGACAATACTCAGATTTTTTTTACAACCCCAAGGACAGATGTATTTCTAGGTTATGTTAACAGCATGTTCATTGGTGCAAACTTCAGATGTTACAACGCTTACAGTGAAAAGAAAGCCTCCTCTCCTGTCTCCAGCTACTCTACTCCCTTATTGGAGACAACTGTTCTCATTTCATTGGGCGTTCCCCCAGAGTGTCCAGCTGTGCTTAGGAATACTGGGTTAGAGAGCCAGCACACCATTACTCAGCATCAACTATACGTTGTATTTGTAGTGATACGGACTGAGCCCTAGGATGTACGCACACCAGGCAAACACCACTACACTACATTCCCAGGACTAAGTTTTGATATTTGTATTGCACAAATAATTGCCAAGTTGTTTCTACACCTGTTAATCTAACTGATGGAATAGCAATTCAAACCTCATTATGGTAAAGAATTTACTAAACCGAACAAAAACTAAGACTATTCCATTAACAGTCATTTTTTGGCTTAATCATTAGCATCGACTGCTTTTCTATTTTTATTTTTTAGGTAGGATTTCACTACGTACAGTCCAGGCTGCCTGAACTTGCTGTGTATCCTAAATGGGCCTTGAACTCATGATCCTTCTCTCAGGCCTCCCAAGCACTGGGGTTACAGGCATGAGCCACCACACTAGCTACTGTGCCATGTTTTTAATGCCAGAGTTCACATTTAAGAACATCTGTAACAGGATTCCCTCTTGCAGACTTGGTATTTGATATCCTTATTAAGTAATAAATTTTCCACTATGCTGTCCAAGTACTTCGTTTGCTACAGTTATTACATTTAGGGTTCTGAGTCACTTTGTCTCCTGAACCTAACTGGAAGCTACAAGGAGGATCCAGACATATTAGCTTTGTTCATTTATTACTGTTTCCCACCCAGCTATGAGGACATCCAAGCTGTTAACATATTGTTAGTATTTAGTCTGAAATATTTTGAAATTCTAATGGAAATTCCAGGTAGAAAGTGCTAATCCCACCCTCATCTCCTCCAGGGTTTCTCTGTGTAGCTCTGGCTATCCTGGAACTCACTCTGTAGACCAGGCTGGCCTCAAAACTCAGAGATCTGCCTGCCTCTGCCTCCTACGTGCTGGGATTAAAGGCGTGCGCCACCATGGCCAGGCAGAAAGTGCTAACTTTTATTCCCACACCACAGTGACTATAATTTGCATTATGAAGTCCTCTCAGTACTTTTCAGAAGGCAACTCACTCATTACTCCAGGCTGGGTAGAATGTGGCTAAGGGTAGATTCCTTGCCCAGCTAGCATAAGTGAGGCTCTGGGTTGGATCCCAGCACTGTAAAAATTAAAAAGCTAAAAACAAAAAGAAAAAAGAAAACAACAGAACTTCTACTCCATCAGTTCATCAATTTACTACATTACCTTTCAAGTTCACAATCTGAGAGAATTTTAGCTGCTGTATTTTATCAAAGGCTGCATCCACATCATCTAATGTAAAGAGAGTAAAATCTTCGGTATTGTGTCGAGACTAAAGAAAAACACAAGCCAAGGTTAAAAATGATCATGAGTGGAGCACAGAAGCCGCCTGTTAACTGCTTCACTTACCTGATAAAGATCATACATGAACATCTGCCCCATTTTATAAACAGGGATTGTAGCATAGTGGAGCACAGAAGCACCCCCCGTGTTAACTGCTTCACTCACCTGATAAAGATCGTACATGAACATCTGCCCCATTTTATAAACAGGAATTGTAGCATAGATGGCGCAGTTCAGACCCAGTTTCCCCACAGCGAATGGAAGGGCACCGAGGTGGAGAGGGTCAGGGTGAGACAGGAGCACCGCGTCAATCTGGTGAACGTGCCTGTGAACATAACCAAGAGGGCAGCTCCATCAGCTCTTTAAGCATAAAAGGCAGAAGCGCCGTCGTGATTCCCCTGCTTTAGACTCAAGGCTGGCTGAGGTAGAGAGCAGACCCCAGGGCTAAGACTGTGACACCGATGAATTGTAATTACTACTGTTACAGTATCCACTGTGCTTTAAGCCACTTCAAAGGGAAACTGTAGACACCACATTTAAGTTGATCTTGAATGGGTATTACCTATGCTACTAAAGTTAGGAAATCAGCTTGGAATTGAGGAAATTGTTAAAGGGCGATATTTAAATGCTCAAATAGTTGGTACTGACTTTGCTTCAGTTTTCTAGCTTTATGACAAAATAAAATGACAATTGTCATAAATATCATTAACCACCAAAGCATAGTGGCTCAAGGGCAACAGGATTAAAGGAGATGCCTTAGAGACTTTTTTTTTGCTTCATGTTCTCCTTTTTCATTCATTAATAGTAATAATGTAGCAAATGTAACTTTTTTTCTGACATATTTGTATGGGGTAGATACCATTCAAAGAGTAAAGTCACAATGTTGACTATGGAGACACACAAAGTCAGGTAATGTGATTGAGGACAGAGCTTTCACAGGGAAGTGTTGAGCCTCTCCTCAGGTTTTGACAGACTCATGCTCTTTCCAAAAATTAAAGAGCACACTTTCTGTGGTCAACTAGCAAAGTAACAACAAGGTTTTCCTGAATTTCGAAAACAAAACTTACTGGCCAATCAAAACTTTGTAAATTACAATGGTTACAATTTAGCTTTCTGCCATAAATAAAACTTACTGTAAACCAAAAAAATGATAGCAATAGTATATAACATCAGAATGACATTATAAAAGTATAGAAAAAGTTGAGGACCTGGTTTTTTTAAAGCTGATTTAAAGTACAAACTGTAACTTACTTCCTCAGGGAATCAATAATGTCCATAGAGAAGTGCTCATCCCAGCCACAGTCCAGCAAAAACCTAAACTCATCCACCTGGAGAAGATAGCAGAGTGCAGACTCCTCTTGGACCCCAGAGAGGGTGGTTAATTTGATGATGGATGTCATCTTTCTGGTCCTCTAATGGTTACCTAAACGGTGCTTACAAATAAAAATATAATTAAACATAAAGCACAGTCCACATAACAGGCAAACTTTTTCAATTTTTAAGTGCACCGAAATTCCAGAGTCTGATTAAAATCTAGCATGTTAAATTCATTCCATCCCAGCCACATTTAAAAGTATAACCTTGTTTACAAGGTCCTTCAGAGGCTCCCCAAGGTGGGCCTGTGAATAGTAGGGAACTTTGGAATCACTGATCCAGACTTCAATCAACTCCTACACGATTCAGGGCAAGTTAATTACCTTTTTCTTACCTAGGGACTCCTGTCCATAAAACATTAGTATTAATATACACATACAGAGGGTAGAAGATTCCAAATATTTTTCTCTGTATAAGAGGTCTTGGGACTCTCTTGAGAATCTGATTAAAAACCATGGCTCCTCTGTAGCAGGAATCTCAAAAGGTCTTATTAATAAAAACAAACCTGGAGCCAGGTATTGGGGTGAACGCTGAAAGATCAGAGAGACAGAACAGGCCACAGCTAACCTTACCTAAACAACTTCTCAGCTGATCCTGTTTCCTCAAACCAGAAGCCACTGAGTCCTCATCCAGAATGAATCTCAACTGAACTGCTGCTAAAAGCCTAAAGCTTAACCAGCTCTAGTTCCTGGTCCTCACGCCTTTCTGCTTCCTGCTATCACTTTCTGGGATTAAAGGCATGTGTCACCATACCTGGTTGTTTCTAGTGTGGCTTTGAACTCAGAGATCCGGATGGATCTCTGCCTTCAGAATGCTAGGATTAAAGGCGTGTGTGCCACCATTTTCTGGCCTCTATGTCTATCTAGTGGCTGTTCTGTCCTCTGACCCCAGATAAGTTTATTAGGATGCACAATATATTGGGGGACACAATATCACCACACTCCTTTCTCCCACAATCCTCAACACACCCACACGGTAAATGTATATACTCACAGAAACTCACATACTTTTCAGGAAGCTTAATATTAACAACACTTGTGCTACATTGTAAGCAACAGAAAAACATCTTACTGTTTGTAATTAATTCTGACAGTATCTTAAGTTCCCAATTCCCAAAACAAAGCCTGACACAAAGTAGGCACTCAACATAAATCCAATGCCATGTATATGGGGATACCTACTACACATTTTCCAAAAAGATTAATATGAATACTCTTTTGTAGTAAATTTGTAGGACAAAGTTTTTGGTAAAAGTCAGTGAGATGGCTCAGCAGGTAATGTATGAGTCTACATTTAAACTGTTCCAACTCCCTTTTGCTTATTTAATTTTTTTTTTTAAATTTTGGTTTTTCAAGACAGGGTTTCTCTGTGTAGCTTTGTACCTTTCCTGGAACTCATTCTGTAGCCCACACTGGCCTGGAACTCCCAGAGATCCGCCTGCCTCTGCTTCCCGAGTGCTGGGACTAAAAGCGTGTGCCACCACCGCCTGGCCTCCCTTTTATTTATTTTCTTTTTGAGACAAGATCTCATGTAATGTAGATGGCCTCTCTATGCAGCAAAAGATGACTTTAAACTCATCCTCCTGCCTCCCCTTTCCCAAATACTGGGATCATAGGCCTGGGTAATCACACCTTCCTAGACTTGAGCCATTTGATAACATTAATTGGCAGAAGCACGTAGCAGCTGTTCTAGTAAGTTAAAATCTGAAATACATTGATTTACTGTATTCCTATTTGAGGTATGAGAAATAACACATGCATTTTCTATCATTTGTTTGTTTGTTTTTAAGATATGGTATTACATAGCCCTGGCTGTCCTGGAACTCACCGCATAGACCAGGCTGGTCTTGAACTCACAGAGCTCTACCTCTCTCTGCCTCCAGAGTGCTGCCTCTGCCTCCATATTAAAGGCATGCAACACTATGTCCCGCTTAATTTTCTACTCTATAAAAATGTTTATAAATACAATTTTGAAGAGAATCCTGGCAATATTTTCTCCAAAACTTCTACTTGAGGGGAGAGCAGTGCGTGAACTCAAACTTGGGGTCCCATGCATGTTAAGCAAGTGCTCTATCTAGCATTGAGCTAAATGCCCAACTCTTTAAATCTACTTCAGCTCTCAGTGTTACTTAATTATGAACTCAAAAAACAAAGTGCTTGCAGCTATAACTGAATGAATTCCCATTGAAACTTTTACAGAAAGACCCAGACTCAACAGATGGAAAATATCATGTAGGTCTTTATGGTAAGTATGTATCCTTATCAGACATTCATTACTTACTGATAACTCAGTTGAAGATATGATAAAATACACATTCAGAAGTTCTGTATAAATCTTAAAAAAATAAGAAAGTCTTGTGGATGTAATGTAATTTGCTTCTGTTTATAATTATGGTGTTTCAATTTCTACATCTTTCCCTAAGATCATGAGCAGAAGTAGCACATGCTTTTGTCTGTTTTTGTTTTTTTGTTGTTGTTGTTGTTTTCAAGATGGGTTACTCTGTGTAGTTTTGGTGCCTCTCCTGGATCTCCCTCTGTAGACCAGGCTGGCCTTGAACTCAGAGATCTGCCTGGCTCTGCCTCCGGAGCGCTGGGATTAAAGGCGTGCACCACAGCCCTCAGGCCCAACCATTTTCAAGATAGCTGGCCAAGCTATTTGTCTGTTTTTTTTTTTTTTTTTTTTTTTTTTTGGTTTTTCGAGACAGGGTTTCTCTGTGTAGCTTTGCGCCTTTCCTGGAACTCACTTGGTAGTCCAGGCTGGCCTCGAACTCACAGAGATCCGCCTGGCTCTGCCTCCCGAGTGCTGGGATTAAAGGCGTACACCACCACCGCCCGGCTATTTGTCTGTTTTTTAAGACAAGTTCTTCCTATGAAGCCAGGTTGGTCTGGAACTGAAAAGCCCAAATGGCCTTGGTTTTTTCTCCCCTGACCTCAGCCTTTCAAATGCTAGGATTCCAGGAATGTACAATCATGCCTTGCCCTATATATTCAAATTTGAAAAAGAAAAAAAATTGGGGCTGGAGAAATGACTTGGCAGTTAAAGGCACTTGCTGTTCTTATAGAGGACTTGGGTTCTGTTTCTAGTACCCACACAGTGATTCATAATGATCCATAACTCCACTTCTAGGGGGACCCAAAGCCCTAAACTCAACAAGGCATCAGGCATGTACATGTTGCACATACATTCATACAAACATATATACAGGCAAAACACTCATACACATAAAATAAAATAATATATCTAAAAAGAGAAACAATTGTAAGGTGTTAATTTACTAAAGTGATAAAACAATCATGAGCCAAATCGGTTATAACCTGCTTACATATACAATTTAGAAAATGAATTTTAAAAATTCTCAATTGCTTCTGTTATTAAAAGAACTAAGATTACTTATTAAAGATTTATAAGGTCAGGGCAGAAAGAGAAAAGACGTTCAAAAGATTGGAATAACATCAGTTAAGACACAAAACACAAAGCTAGAGGATCAGTGAAGAACTCTGCCTGCCATGCTGACACAGAAAGACAGACGGACTGACCTAATGCACAGGAAAGGCCCAGCTGAAGGAGCCTGGATACCCTGGATCTAGTTCTACAGGCAATAAAGAAGCATTTAAACTTCATTAACAAGCTGGGCGGCGGCGGCGCACGCCTTTAATCCCAGCACTTGGGAGGCAGAGCCAGGCGGATCTCTGTTAGCTCAGGGCCAGCCAGGACAGGCACCAAAACTACACAGAGAAACCCTGTCTCGAAACCCCCCCAAAAAAGAAAGTTCATTAACAGGAAGATGGCATGATATAGGCAAGTCTGTACTGAAGGAAAGCAGGTGATGTGCATGACTGAACAAACACTAACAGAACAGACAAAGAAAAGATGTTTAGACTCCTAAATACTTCTCTCCACTTCACTGAGTTTAGTCTTTCATCCTGCCTGTATTTTATAATTCTTTATCAGTTCGTTGGTTTTTAGCTAAGTAGGTAAGGCTGAAGGTCTGCCCTTTATTTCTCTGGGAAGTATCAATTTGTCCCCTATCAATTTTGGGTTGTTTCTCCCTCAGAACACCTTGACATACACCATCCCTCTTCTGTTCTACTGTCAACACCTGAACGTCTGGCCTCATTACCTTACATTCTAGTTTCTCCGTTTCTTCCCCTGCGGCTCTCCCTCCCTTCATCTCAATGGAAACACCACTGCCAGGTTAATCTAAAACATCCCTACACACATTACCCTTGGCTCAAAAGCCTTTGAAGGCAGGGCTGGCAAGACAGCTCAGTGGTTAACTTGAACCTGAGTTCAATCCCTCGTATCCACATGGCGAAGCAGAGTAACTACTCCAGCAAGCTGCCTCTGACCTTCATCTGTGCACTGAGTACATGCATGCCCCACACACAAAGTTTAAAATTAACAAACAAAAAACCAAAACCCTTAAAAATGTCCGATTGCCTGAGGGGAAAAAATAAAAACAAATAACTCAGTGTTACTACTTGTAGGTAGGGTGAGGAGTCACAGGAAGCTGCCTGGACATCGGTTTACTCTCCTCTCGGGGTCTGGATCAAATTTTGCCCCCTCACAGAAGTAATCTAAGATTTTTCATAGCCACATTTAAAAGTCAAAGGAGGTAAAGCCTGATGTTTTAACAGTCATCATTTCAACATGTGATCATTTAACGAGTCTGTTTACATTGTTTTTGTACTGTCTTCAAATTCCAGTACATCTCTGACCCACCTCATTTCAAGTACTCAATACTGCATGTGGCTAGTGGCGACTGTAATAGCAGAGGTCTAGACTCCAAAATCAATGCTTTAGGCTGGGGAACATTGTGGTTTTGCCACTGCTCAAGAGCAAAGCTAGCACCATCCTGTTTTTATGTATACGTCTCAGACTGGATTGCAATGGTGTTACCCATTATGAGGTCTCCCAGACTAAAAGCTAGCCACCCCCTACCAGCAAATTAATACTCACTAGTTGAATCCCATGAGGCATTTACTTCATTCTCTTAGTCTTTCTTCTCCTGCCTTGATGGAGGTACCTGTTGCCTTACCTGAATGACTGCAATTACATCTAGTTTTCTTGCCTCAGGTTGGTCTTCCATACCCTTACCATGCCCACTCCCTACAAGTATGCACGGGCCTCCTGCTAACTATTGAATACCATCCAAACTGGAAATCAAGGCCACTCACAAGCTCTTCACAACCTCCAATTTGCACCTTCAGTCTTTTTGTTTGTTTGTTTTGTTTTTGTTTTTAAATCTCCCTTAACAATGCCCAACCTTCTCAAGTTTTTAATCCCTGTCCTGCATGCAAGAGTGACCTTGTTTTCCCGGGTTTAGCAAATTCCTTTTGATCCGGCTCAGGTGCAGCCTTTTCACTGTCCCCAGGTAAAGTTGGTTGCTTGATTACTTAGCACAAAGGAGGCACGAAGAATATTTGCTGAACAGATACTGAATGTCTAAAAGTGATCGTCTTTACATCACCCAAACCAAGCATAGGGCTCACGGCAATATAAATGCAGGCTGAAAGCAGTGAAATTCCTCCAGGGTAGTGATTTTGACTATCTCTGCTTCATCCCGAATATGTACTTGCTTTCTCAAGAATGATCGTGCACGGTTGAGGACAACCAATGAGAAGTATGCAAAAACTCTAAGAATAAAGATGGGTCTGGACTAGTCCTGGGGCTTAGAGAGTGGGAGAAGCCTCCCCTCAGTCGTTTAGGTAAAGAAGGGCTTTGAAACAGGCAAGGGAGTTGTAACGTTTAAAGGTTAGAGGGCAGGCAGATAGTGGCTTAAGTTCTCCCAGTCACAGAGGGTCAGACTACTGGGGTTAGAGCTGGCCTGACCTCTGGTTTCCTGAAAAGTATGTAAACAAGGAAAGTAAGAATGAGGTCTTAGGAAACGTAATGACTGTGGAAGCAGAGAGCGACAATTCTAACAAGGCGCGGCATAAACATCTCCAGGGTCTTTGAAGTTAAGGAGCCAAGAGGGCAGCTGGCCTCGTGGTCTCTGAACCCAAGATGGGCAGGGAAGGCTTGGGGGTACCGCGGCACCAGGGAAAGGGGTCCAGGCTGGACTCGGATTAACTCTTAGCTCCAACAGGATGAAAGGTCAAAGAAATATACAAGAGGGAGGGCAAGGAGCAAAGGAGAACCATAGGAGCGCCACAAACACCCGGAGGTTTCGACCCGTGGAAAAGTCCCTTTCCTTTCCCCTCGCGGAACGCTTATTCCAGGAACCACGGAGACGGTCGCAACCGAAACCGCGGGAGCGCGTCAGGGCGACACCGGGCCGATGAGGGAACCCCGGAGGGCCTCCTCCCGGACCCGAAGGCTCCTTTCTTTTTCCCGTCCTCACCTGCCTGGTCAGGCTCCCCCAGCACCGTCCACGGCCCTTCCCAACCCCCAGTAAAACCCAGGTTCGAGAGCGAGCGGGGCAGGCGCGCGCTCAGCGGCGGAGAGCGGCCGGCGGGAGCTCCTGTGTGGCGGCCGCCATCTTGGGCCTGAGGCGAGCCGCTGAGGCGGGGACGACCCGGGCGACACCATCTGTGGGGGTGGCGGGGGACCGGCTTGGGGAAGACGACAGCGCAAAAGCTCACCGATCTTGTCAGCTTGGATCCAGGTTTTATTCCGAACCTCTCATGACTATGGATAGCTTAAAAATTAAAGGACTCAACCAGAGGTTAAGAAGAGAGAGAGGCGTGGATTTGACGTCGCCACCCCTCTCCTCAGGTTGGCGCGGAGAGTGGCAGCTCCTGAGGTCACCGCTTCCGCTGGCGCCAGTGGCCTAGCTCCCTACGGCTGCCCTTGGTCGTGTTGGGCTTGTCACCGGGCTGCAGGTGGGTTTGGGGACCCGGGCGCCACCCGTCGAGGTGGTGCAGGCGGGAGGGTGCTGGGGAAGGCAGGGTCGCCCTCGGGGGACCATTCCGGGCTGCCCGCTCCACACCTTTTTAGCAAGGGTGCTCTGATGCTGGCTCAACCAGAGCGTCTTTGGGGACCACCCGATGGCCTCGCCCGCTTGGGACTGGAGAGGGCACCCGGGGATCCGGCTCCAATCCCGAAGCAGCGCACATTCGCCCAGGCCCAGACATCTGCCTCCTCGCCCAACTTCACTCTCCTAAATAGGAAGCATGCACTTACCCATTTGCCTTTTAAAAACGTGACTTTATGCCTGGTTTCCAGCTTGTGCATGTCACGATCTCAAGGGTCCCATTCCTCTACCCTTTCAGTTCTGTTTTCCATGGCCTAGGCGACACTTTGTGAGTAGTACTTACAAGGTACTGTGGGATCCAGTTAGATACAAGGTTTATCTCTTTAAATGTCTACATGTTTCTAAAGTGAATCCATAGCGGACTCACTAAAATAACATGCCAGTTTGTTTTCTTCTTGGAAGGGGAAAGAAAATTGTGTTAGAGAAAAATATTAGAAAAAATGTGGGTTTTGTTGTTGTTGTTTTTAAAAAACAAAAAACAAAAGTTGGGTATGGTAGTGCATGCCTTTAATCCCAGTGCCCCGGAGGCAGAGGCAGGTGTATCCCTGTGAGTTTGAGACTAGATTGGTGTACAGAGTTCTAGGTTACACAGAGAGGCTCTGCAAAAAAAAAAAAAAAAAAAAAAGGTATTTAAATGTTTATCTCTGTATATAACGTGGAAACAGTAGAACACAAGAACTTAAACCATGTCACGATAAAGATTGCCTGGGTATTATGCTAATCCTGACCCTTCACTCTAACTTAAAGCAAGTTACTTTACCATGACTGAACTTGGATTTCTTCATCTGAAAAAAAAATGCCCACTGCATTGAGACATGGTTACTTAACAAACCTGCAGTGCTAGAGAGGACTGTATGACTTAGTGATTATGCAGAGACACCTCTTAAAAGTGGCCCACATCTGTAATTCCAGCTACTTATGAGGATGAGACAGGGGGATAGTAAGTTTGAAGCCAGCCTAGCAACACAGTAACTGTTAAAAAAAAAAAAAAAAAAAAAAAAAAGATTCGGCTCCTTAGAAGCTTGACAAAAAATTTGGATCACTTTCATATTAAAAGATACATGACCAAGGCAGTGTGTGTAGCTCTGTGTTAGAGCATGTGCTTTACAGAGCCAAGTGCAACCCTAGCATCCTCCCTTCCTCCCCCATCCCTCCATGTGAGGCCTTAATGCTCTAAATGAAACCCATAGAAATACTATGGTTCCCACACCTTTAATCCCAGAACTCAGGAGGCAGAGGCAGGTGGATCTCCGTGAGTTCAAGGCTAGCCTGGTCTACAGTGTGAGTTCTAGGCAGCCAGGGCTACAAAGTGAAACCCTGTCTAGAAAAACAAAACAATCCCCAAAAAAAAAAACAAACACCAACAACAAAAAAGAAATACTATAGTTACTCCAAATTCTGAAATAACAAAATTCTTTCATGGGCCCTCATACAAAAAGACACCCCTGGGGCTAGAGAGATGGCTCAATGCTTGCTGCTTTTCCAAAGGGCCTGAGTTTGGTTCCTTAGAACCCATGTTGGGTGGCTCACAACTCCAGCTCCAAAGGGCTCTGATGTCTCTTGTCTTCTCAGGCACCTGTACTCATGTGCACAGGCACACACACACACACACACACACACACACACACACACACACACACAATTAAAAAAATAAATCTGAAGAGGTAAAAGGAGACTATTAGTATGTATAGTGCCTCATAAGCACCAGCCAGGAATATATTCCTTAAAGCAGTTCATTGGCCCTGCCTCTTGCTAACGTTCTTAGCTCATCCAAAATCTAGACTTACCTCAGTGAAGTTTGTCCAGTCCTCACCACCTTTGCCTATACTCGATGGAGCTCTAGATTTGGGCCCATGACCAAGATCCTCACTCTATTTCTCCTCTTACCCATGATTTTATGGAAAATCATTCTGACTAACAGATGGCCATCTTTGCCCTCCCTGTTCAGCTACTTGCAGGAAAATATCCATGCAGATGTTCACTGCACTGCTCCCAAGCCCATTGAATATATACTGTACCACTGTAATATGAGACACCTTTCTAGGACTGAGGTTTGTCATGATCTCTTATGGATATTCCTTCATGGTGACTGAATCCAACCATGGAATCTATAAAGAATCCTTTTCTTAGTACCATTGTCCTTATGTCTAGAGTCTATAAGAACCCATATGTGGCAAAAGCCCCATAGGCCTACTTCATCTCTTCTAAATAGAGCCAGACTAAACCTATTTCTTAGAATGCCAGTAGTAATGGCTTGTAGCCTACAGGTAGCTGAGCTTATTTTAAACTGTTCTGAGCTGGAAATCAGCAAGTACTCGTTAATACAAAATGATATCTAACAGCTGTGGAAATGATGAAGCTAATGCCTCCTTTTTTTTTTAATTTATTTGTGTGTGTGCATGCAGGTGTGTGTGTGTGTGTGTGTGTGTGTGTGTGTGTGTGTGTGTGTGTGTGTGTGTACCTTCATGCCACAGCATACATGCTGGTGCAGAGGTTAGAGGACAACTTTCAATTGATGGATGGTTCTCTCCTTCTATCATGTGGGTCCCAGGAATCAAATTTAGGTCCTTAGACCTGGTGGCCAGTACCTTTACCTGCTGAGCATGTTTCTTGCCCTTAAGTATGCAATAAGGACAGGAAGTGTAGGTGACCACTGAGTTTTTGGAACTTAACACAGGCTCCTGAACACAGACATTGTCTAGTATTTCGTAGTTGAGTGCTTTGAAAGTAAGTTCATATTATTATTAAGGGTCTTTATCATCTCCAGTCTTGACTCGCTCAAGTTTACAAAGCAGGTAAACAGTTCACTTGGTGAGCCCTTGGTTAGCATTTCAAGAGCTACTTTAAATAAAAGTGATACTTCTTAACAAAGGCTAAGAGAACTACTGTCTTCTAGGAAATAAAGTAAGATTGGCTTTACTTACATTTGTATCTTCAAGAAGCATTTGTATCCAGATCAGTGGGTGAGTTGTTAGGAGTCTGTAAGAGCCCACATGTGGCAAGAGCCCCATAGTCCTAACTCATCTCTTTCCTTGTCAATGGAGCCAGACCAAACCCATCTCTTTTCTAGTCTCATCCTGGAGATGAGGCCAAAGATTCCCTAGTTTAAGAAAGACTCCCTAGGTGGTTCTGATGTATGGTTAAGGTTGAGAATTCCAGCTTAGCTAGGCAACTACAATATAAACAACATAAAACTAACAGATGGACAAGTTGTAAGTAAACTGGAATTTTCCATAAGGAACATGGCATATTCTATATAGAAACTGCAACTTTTAACTTCATGATTATACTGTGACTTTAGTACTAGGTTCTTAAAATCTGACAAGTAGAATTGTGTTCACATACAGACTCATACAGGAGGTGAGGCAGGAATGGACTCTACATAAGCCGAGCACAGGCTGTGCTAAGCACTTCTGGCAGTAACGCATTCCTTCTCCCAGGGTTGCCGCGCCCTCTCGGCCACTCACGTGAAGTATCATTCGCATGTGGGTGTGTCATTGGTTCAGCTGTGTCTACAAATCTTAACAGAAAATTGACAATTCGGTGGCGTTTTTATTGAATTCAGCACACATTTGCTATTTTTTACTTGATTCCCAGTTCTGTTCTTCTTTATCTGCCCTTTGGAAAATGTTAAAAGGTAAAAAGCACTTAGATAACTAGGAATATCAACTCAGGGAGAGAAAATGGGCTATGACACAGGAGGCATTGTTTGGAGCGGACCTGAATTTGAACAGCAGCTTGCAATCATTAGCTACTTGAGTTAAGCTGTTGGGCTTTTAGTGTATTTTACTTTTTGTGTGTTTTGTCTGCATGTATGTGTGTACACCATGTTTGAGCCTCGTGTCCTTGGAAGTGAGAAGAGGTCACCGGATTCCCTGGAACTGGAGTTATGGATGGTTGTGAGCTTGAACTTGTGTACTGGGAACAGAATCTACATCCTCTGCAAGAACGAGTACCTTAATCACTGAGCCATCCCTCCAACCCTGAGTTAAGCTGTTTTCATACCATATAAAATGAGGATAAGAGTTAATCCACATTCTATATAGAAATATGATAGCCTAGGCTCTAGTACCATTTAATAGGCACCATTCTATAAAATTCTTTATCTTTTATAGTCATTTAATTTTCTGATACTGTGACATTATTTCTTTTCAATTTTTTTATCCTTCAAAAAATAGTTTTCAATAAATTTATCTTTACTCAAAAATTCTAGCCGGGTGGTAGTGGCAGACACCTTTAATCCCAGCACTTGGAGGCAGAGGTAGGTGGATCTCTGTGAGTTCTAGGCCAACCTGGTCTGCGGAGAGTTCCAAGATAGCCAGTGTTACACAGAGAAACCCTATCTTGAAAAACCAAAAAAAAAAAAAAAAAAAATCAACCTAGTAAAATAATATTCAGTTTGCATGTGTGTTGTGAGAGCATCCACAAATATTTTACGTATGTGAAAGTTGTGAAGCAACATGAAGAGTGCAGATATTCATTTTGCAGGTAAAATTTTC